ACTTATCATTCGACGCACGATCAGGGGCAAGCAACAAGTAAATACTCATTCTGCTGTTGATTGATTCAACCACGAAGGCGCAAGGTCGGACCGGGTTGGACGTAAGGCACCATCAGGCACCAGGACAAGCGTGATCGAGCATCGGGATGGAAAGCCGAGCACGAAACGGCGCGTGTTGACAATCTCGATGCTTGGTCTCGATGCTTACAGTTGGCAGCTGCAGCGAGACTGACCGTGTAGACAGTGACGAGTAGACTGTAGCAATTCCCGGGTCAGCATGCAGACTTGCCCAGTTGAAGGACCTTGCCTCGCCAGACTAGCATGGTATTTAGTGATCCTCGATGCGTCCATGATGGAGATCTAGTCTTTCTCGATGAGAGTCACAAACGGTAAAGTGCCGCACTACAACGCTGCAACATCTTCATGCTAGCACTAAGCAAAATTTGCAGAGCGGCTGCATTGCTTTGCAAGGCAATAGGGAAACGAGTTCTAACAATTAGCAGGCAACTCTAGTCTTATTGAACACGACGAGAATGGGTCCTGGGGTCCTGGTGGGAACAGTGGTTGTCCATGCCATTGTAGCTGCGGTATATCTGCGACACGTGCTCCACATGTGTTGTCCCTGAATCCCTGTGCTGAGATCCAAGGACAGGACCGTAACAATCCAGGTCGGTTCAGAAAGTGTTTACGGGACCGCAAGCTCTTTGCGACTTGTCACCCAGTCAGCTTCCTAACGTACACACTCCAGCTACCATCTTGATGTATGACTTCATGAGTTTGCACAGCAATCACTAATCTTCCGCATCTAGCCATGATCATTTGGTGTGTTGTAAAGTTATCTTATTGGGACGGCATGTAGGGCCGAGTCACGTGTAGCTACCCTTTCGGTACCTGTCGGAGGCCAAAATACTCGGATGGATTTTCATGCACAGAGCATTGCATCCCGCAACATAGCTTACTTGACCACTTCTAGAGAGGTGCATGCTAACCGCCCTGTGCTGATCCACTCATCCCTGAAAAGTGTGGCACTGCCTTCGGGCTGCAGAATACCATCTGTACGGAATTCCATGTGACACTGGTGCTAAATATCGATGTCTTACTTCAACAACTCTTTGGATTTTGACAGCCTAATCTTCGAGGATTGTTTGGCCATCGCCTCCAGGAACCATCTGAAATTACGTCAGCATTGCAACTATAGAGGTTTCAAGAGCTGGTACCATGCAGATGTTATTACCGTTGAGCAGGATCTTCGGTAATTTGTTGTTGCCCTCGGCGGAATCACTATCGAGTCAGTGAATTCAGGGAAATCCAAGGCGCCCTTCCCCTGGGTAGAGGTCTCTCACATCTCTGTGACGTCTTCCAAGACCATGTCTAGAGATTGATCAGTTCAGCCTTTCGAGGACGCTTCTGCTGTTACTTACTGACGTAGTCGTCAAACCCAACTAGCTTGCCGGTGAACTCTATGCTGTCTGAGTAGGAGCTCTGTATTAAGAAGAATGTCATGTCTCACCCTTTCCGCCGTTCATGATGACCCATATTTGCGAACCAACGCACTTGTCGATGAGTTCTGCGAAGATTTAGCGGGGTTCGTCGAGCTGTGCTGAATGCAACGTACCGAGAGGGAGCAGGTTTTCGAGTGACATGACGGCGACTGCAAACGACTTCGCGGTTTACTGTGGCAGTTCCGGGTCCTTCGGTCTCTTTGACGTTCAGGTCGTGGTGAAGTTGTCGTTAGTTACGTTTGGGGCTTGGCGTTCACGCGGTGACGCGCTAGCCAACCGTTCACCACTGATGCTCAACCTCGAGCCGCCGGCGTCATAGTGCAAGGCAGACGCTGCGTGATTCATTTTAATCACCTTGCTTACTTCGGTGCCTAGCTGGAGCACTACAATGGAGGGTTATGCTCTTCAGGAGGCGCGTGTCTTTCCAAGGCGCGTTAAATCTTCGTCGACGCGTTTACGATGAGATGGCAGCACATAACGCGCCTGCAACCGTTCAATACGGTGCTCAGAGGTACTGTACTGCCTCAGCCTCTAGAGCTGCTCCTGACTGACAGTGTAGTTGTCTCCAACATTCAGAGGCACCGAGCTTCACTACGCCACAATCTCGAGTAATCCACCCCTACCAACCCGCGTCTCCTGCGCAGACCTCCCCATCACCGGTTGATTGTCGATGGAAGCGCGGACGACCTGTGACATTTTTGAGTCGCGCGTTCAGCACAGAGCCAGCAAAACACACTGCAGAGGCAAGCGGTTTTGTCAGCACGTTCGCCACTTCAGGCACTGCGGTGCAGGGGCAAGATCATGAAGTGCAAACACCTCATGACCTGCCACGACAAGATTTCAAACAACATGGAAACGCAGTGATAGGTGATGAGCAATGTGAGCCTGTAGGGCGTTCTCCAGTCATTGTACAGCATAATGACGTGCCCACGCAAACTGACTGTGTCGATGCTGGAAAACTGCCGTTGAAGGAAGCTTCTGCAGTAAATGCGACTCGGAGCTTGCCCATGAGCCCTCAAAACCCTGACCACGAGGATCAACAAGGTGCCCCTTCCGCACCCGCCAATGGCATTGTGCTTTCGTCTGCTACAGACGATGTAATGGAGGGCGTGTCAGATGATGACTATATGTCAACCTCGAGTGAGTCGGAACAGGATGGCTCCGAAATTGAGGAGGTCAATGAGGAGCTTAGCGAAACTCACACGCTCCTCGAGTTCCAGATCCCCGAGGATGTACTGCAAGCTGCCTTGACAGCTCCCGAAAACACTAAAGCGAGCTTCTGGAGCAGCACCCTCTATCGTGGTCCAGATGACGCACCCGTACTGGTGCATTATTGCAAGACCAAGGAAGTAGCCGAGCGTGTGGCCAAGCACTTTGTCAGAGAATCGGTCGTCGGATTTGACATTGAGTGGAAACCATACTCTTCTCCTGACTCGATCAAGAAGAACGTATCTCTCATCCAGCTTGCCTGCGAGGACCGAATTGCGCTTTTTCACGTGGCACTGTTCCAAGGAAACACTGCAGGACAACTCATGCCTCCAACTTTGAGGGCGATTCTAGAATCTCCAGACATCTACAAAGCCGGTGTCGCCATTAAAGGTGACTTCAGCCGCGTTAGCAAATTCCTCAAGGTCGAGCCTCAAGGTGTCTACGAGCTGAGCCGACTGCATAATCTGGTGGAACATTTTGCAACAGATCCTAGCAAAGTCAACAACAAGCTCGTAGCTCTGGCCCCGCAGGTGCAGCAACATCTTGGATTACCACTGTACAAAGGAGGCCATTTGATTGACGACCCTGAGGACTTGAACAATGTCCGCTCCAGTGACTGGAGCTTGGCATTGAATCGCCAGCAGATCCACTACGCGGCTGCAGACGCGTATGCTGGATTTCGCCTGTTTGATGTTCTTGAAGGAAAGCGAAAACAGTTGAAGCCCACTCCACCTCGGCCATCGGTGTGCGACTATGATGCGAAGCCGAAACCTAGATCAACTGTCAGTAAACCTCGCAAGAAGCGCGCGCCCGTTGCGAAGGACAAAGAGACTGCAACGTTAGTTGCAGAGGAGCCCGTTGCGGCTACAGAACAGACGGGGGAGCCAGAAGAAGAGCCAGGACAGAAGTCTGAACAGTCACAAGGTACAGAGGGCTACGAAACTGCCCAAGAGGACTTGTTGGACAGCCATCAGCTCGAAGATGAAGAGCCTGCTTCTTCAGAGCACAGCTACGAGTTGACGGAGGAAAGCAATGATGACACTTCGCCAGATCATGAGTCATATTTGGAGAACGCAATGGGTGCACCTGTACCGGACCTAGGTCAGGGACGAATCGGTCGCATCAACCTGAGTCGACTCAGAGGCCCCGATCCAGGCTATCCAAAACTTCCAGAGCTTCGCGGTGGCGATGAGGGGAACTCAACGTCTGACAAGGATTTCGTTGATATCTCAGAGAGACTCAAGGAAATCAAGCTTGACCGCAAAGACAACTCAAGCGAAGTTCTGGAAGAGGATCAGGATGAGGAGACCGATGAATTTGACGATTCAGAGCTTGAAGAAGCGCTGCAGGATCTGAGCATCGACAGTGACGGGGAGTTGCAGAAAATCACGACCGAGGCCGCAATAGAGCCGAATGAATCTTCTAAGCAGCTGGTTCCCACGGTGGAAAACAGCGCTGAGCTTGGGAACATGCAGCCTTCACGGGTAGCAGATTTTCAGGCCGAATCATCTGCTGACTTGGACGATTCAGCCTTCGAGAAAGCAGAGCAGCGGCTCACCGATCTGATCAATGACCCCGAGGTCGCGGCATACCTCCATGAACTTACAACAGCCGCCTCTGCCCCAGCAGTACCGGGGCCAGCTCAACTCCCAGCCTCTGAACCTTCAACACCATCACCGGTCATTTCAATAGAGCCAGCCTCCGAACACGTCAAGTCCCCCCTCACCCTTGAATATATGATCGCCACCACCTGGGCACGGTCGTATCTCTCCTCCACCATCCCTTCCCCTGGCTCGCTCACTCCAAGCCACATCCGCGCCACGGTCCCGCACCTACGAGCCTACCACATGTGGCACCACCAGCACTTACCTCTGAGTGAGATAGCGGCTCAACTACGCGACCCACCCTTAGCGGAGAGCACGGTGGGGAGCTATGTGCTGCAAGCGATAACCTTAGAGAGAATGGAGTATGATGCATCGGCGGTGCGAGGGGTGCTGATGGGGATGCCGGAGGCCTTGAGAAAGGGGAAGTGGAGGGGGTTGGCTGAGAAGGTTGGTGCTAGATAGAGGTCGTTGTAGAAGCACTTTGCTGAGTCTCAAACTTACATACCTCCCTTCAATATAACAACGTACTCTGGATATGAGAGAGACATTTACTATCTGACCCACTCGCTGGGTGTTCGCTTGGCGATAGTAATGTTGCTCCAGATCCAAAAAGAGAACCCTCGGAGACCACAGCTCCTGTCACGTGTTGCATCAAACGTCACACAAAAAGTGTGTTAACACTGTCTGCTTCCTTCGGGAGTCGAACCCGAGCCAATTGCTTGGAAGGCAATTATCCTACCGTTGGACCAAGAAAGCTTACATAATCATCCATCGAAGTAGCACATATATGTAGCCATCATACAGGCGCATGAGCTACAGCATCGACTGGACATCTAAGGCACCAGTCTTGCAGCTCTCCCTACACTCCCCGTCTCAAAAAGCTCCACCAGCCCCGCTCCCACACACTCCTCCAAGACCCACTCGAACCGCATACCACAAAACGCCTTCCACTTCTTCGTCCTGCCCGGCAGTACTCCCGTAAATTCTCTTCGGGCTCTCTTCCTGTCCTCCCTCTCGGTGTTGGCGCCAGAAACACCGCCATCCCAGCGCTCGCGCAGCACATCGAGGGGCGCGGCACGGAATTTGCTCTTCTTGAGGATGCTAAGCAAGTGGTCCCGCGCGTCGACGAGCAGCTTGATGTGCATTCCTGTGTGCGGGAGCGAGAAGGAGAACGTGCCTGTTGCGGGAGTGCGGGAATGTAGGGAAATACCGCCGTGCATGTGTTGGGTCGCGTGTTGGCCGCCGACGGCCTCGAGGGAGCCAGCTGCGTGGCGAGAGCCGGATGTGGATATTGAGGAGAGGGAGGCAGCGCCTGGAGAGGCGAAGAATGCGGAGGCTGTGGTGCTGAGTACGGTGGTAGAGGTGAGAAAGCCGGTGCCGGTGAGCAAGGCGATTTCGGCAGGTGTGAATGCTGAGCCTGAGATTGTTGTTGATGTTGGAGAGGCAGACATGAGGGCGATGTACTTGTCCTTGAGATCGCCAGGGAACCCAGTGTGTGTCCTGATGAGTGCGTGCCATTCTCTTACGCTCGCGATGCCGTCTCCCACGGCTGCGGCGCCAACACCGCGATGCGGTATCGTAACTCTTCTTACTATGCCCTTCTTCGCTAGCTCGGCGATCTCTCGTTCGACTACTGTCGAGCTTGTGCTCAGCGCGTCCACATGCGCGATGGTAACGAATGGTGGCAGTGACTTCCGGAAGTTCAATACCTCTGCAATCCGGGTGCTGTTCATGCCGGCCTTCTCTGGCATGTCGCTGAACATGCGGTTCCTGATATACTCTATATACTGCGGAACATCGCGGAAGTTCAAATCAGATGCCAGAGAAACGACAAAACCAAGATCGTCCAACTCTTCGTCTTCATCGTAGGCAGTCGACGCTTCAGTAGGTAATGACCGTTTGGATGGGCTAGCATTTGAGGGAGAGGAAGTCGTGCGCTTGAGACCCAGAGCAGACACGGCGCTTCGTCTTCTGCTCGTTGTTATGCGAGATGACCGTGCTGGTGTTGTTTGCATTTCTGTACAGCCTTTGGCTGGTCTGATGGTGGTTTGAGGATGTGGCGTATTCTGTGCAGGCAGCAGAGAATATCAGTCAGGTGGAAAGAACATGCAAGAGTCTCTGATGAGAGAGTAGGTGGAAGTCATGGTAGGACACGGTGAAGCTACGGCGAGAGCATGTCTTCAAAGTGACAAGTTAAGAGAGTGGCAAGGTAAGAGCTGATGAGCCTCGAGCGTTCAGCCTCGGTTTTGTCATGCGCCACAGCTCACAACTGGGACCGATCTGCCAGTCACGCCGCAACGCGTGCTGCTCCTCTGTGCATTCCTGAGCGCGCAAAACTTGATTGGCGCTCGTGCGTGCACATTACACAATGCGACTACTAGAGGTAGGTTGAACTCAATGCGACGATGGCGTTGCACGCTGCTTCCGTCGCTCCCGCGGTGAGCCACTTCTTGGTACGTCATCAACGGGGCAGCTTCAAACGGCGCGTCGTTCAACAAAACCTCACTGCATGGCTCTTTGGGTCAACTACCGCCCTGACAACAGCTCGATGTCCACCGCCATGTCGCTGAACTCCGAGCCTGCTGCGCCTGAGGAGCGCGAGGCGCACCACCTGCCGCCCAAGTCGTTTGCGGACGCCGCTCACGAAGCGCTCGAGCCTCCATCACATGCGAATGACACCAACAGCGCTGCTGAGGGCAACAATGATGCGCAGCACGGCCACGTCAACTCAGACGAGCCACATGCCAATGGCGTAAAGGTTCTCAAGATAGTCGACACGGGCGCAGACGGCCATCACGACGACGACAACAAGAAGTCGGCGAGCGAGTCGACAAAGGACTCGTCCCAGGAGTCGTCGATCAAGGACCAGGAGTCGTACGAGGGCACCGGCATTGAAGACACTCCCAAGAGCCCCAAGGGCAAGACGCACCGCCGAAAGGGCTCCCGCAGCTCGCTCGGCTCCGTCGGGCGCACGTACGGCGTGTCCATCAAGAACGACCTGAGCGCAGACGAGGTCAAGGAGGGAGCATCCAACGCGGCAGACGAGATCAAGAAGGCAGCCTCGAACGCCGCAAACGAGGCCAAGAAGGGAGCCTCCAACGCCGCCACCGAGGCCCAGCACCAAGCAGCCAGCCTCAAGAACGAGGTCGACGGTGCGCGCGAGAAGGTCGAGAAGGAGACAACTGGCCGGCTGGACGACACCCTCCTGCAGGAGAAGCCCCGTCTCACCAATGGCGACACACTGACGACTGTCAAGCCGTCGCAGGAAGCGCAGCTGGCGCAGAAGGAGAGCCGCGTCGACAGGCCACTGAAGCGCCGCGACTCGGAGCTCAAGGCAGGGCGGCAGGCAGGCGCTGGATGGGCTAAGAGCAAGTACGTTCAAGCTTGCAGAATCTCAACCTCACGCTTCCCACGCATCCACTGACCATTCCCAGAATAAGATTTGCGCCTATGAACGTCCCTCTGCAGCGTAGGCTCCAGACATGCGCTGTACTCATGCACACACTGAGCATCGTCGGCTCCCTCGCCATCTTCTTCTTCCTTTGCAGCATACCTCTCCTCTGGCCAATCCTGCTGCCCTACACCGTCTACGTGCTCTTTTCCAACGCCGGCACCTCTGGAGAGCTGTCGTTCCGCAGCGAGCGCATGAGGCGACTCAAGGTCTGGTCGCTCTTCGCCTCGTACTTTCCTGCCCGCCTGCACCGTTCACAGGAGCTGGAGCCCACTAGGAAGTACATCTTCGGCTACCACCCGCACGGTATCATTTCCCACGGCGCCTTTGCTGCCTTCGCGACCGAGGCTCTTGGCTTCTCTCAGCTGTTCCCTGGCATCACCAACGCACTGCTGACGCTCGACTCCAACTTCCGCTATCCCATCTACCGCGAGTACGCCCTACGCCTTGGCATGGCTTCAGTCTCGCGTGAGTCGTGCGAGAACATCCTGTCAAAGGGTGGCCAAAACGGCGAAGGCATGGGCCGCGCCATCACCATCGTCGTTGGTGGCGCACGCGAATCACTCGATGCTCGCCCCGGCGTTGTCCGTCTAGTTCTGCGCCGCCGTAAGGGTTTCGTCAAGATGGCCATTCGCACCGGCGCCGACCTTGTCCCCGTCCTTGCATTCGGCGAGAACGATATCTACGACCAAGTCGACAGCGAATCCCACCCTCTGCTCCACAAGTTCCAGATGCTTGTCAAGAAGGTCATGGGCTTCACTGTTCCCATCTTCCACGCCCGTGGCATCTTCAATTATGACGTTGGTATGATGCCTTACCGCAGACCTATCAATATTGTTGTTGGCAAGCCAATCCGCGTCGTTCAGGACAAGCAACCCAGCCCCGAGTACATGGATGAGGTGCATGAGAAGTATATCGAGGAACTGATGCGCTTGTGGCATGAGCACAAAGACACCTTTGCTAGGCAGAGGACTGGTAATTTGGAGATTGTTGAGTAATGAGGAAAGAAGGAGATTCTTCTGTATGAGTATACCACGATACGATCATGATGTTTTTCGTTGTTGTAAGACTGCTGCGTTGTAGGGCGCATGATTGTACCCATTACTAGATACACCTAATGCGGGGCACGGAAATGGATTATGAATACATTCCAATCGATGTGCAAAGAAGCCACAGTCTATGATCGTGACCAGATGCTCTAGTATTATTGCTTATATCGAGGGAAAATCGCTTCATGTTATGATCGAAAGGATTCGGCACACTCATACCAGTGATGTACCGCTCACGATTTCTCTCTGAGCTCGGCCTGATGGCCCAAAAAGCTCCCAACCGTATCCTCCATGCTTCTCCACCCGAACCCCAAAACCTGCTCTGCCTTGGACATATCCACGCTTGGCGGCTCCTCAAACGGCCCCTCCACCTTCACACCCACAAACTCATACTTGCTCCTGACAAAATCCGCAACCCGATCTCACGTCCACCCTTCCCTCTCACTCGCACACAGAATAAACTCCTCCACCTCACCGTCCTTGATTTCGATACCAAGCGCCTTGACATGCGCCGCAGCAACGTCCCGCACATCGACGGATGCCATGGGAATCAGCGGCTTCCGGCTGGTCAAGCTACCCCACAGCATCGCGTTTGTGCCGTCGAGCGCGTCCGGGGTGGTCTGCGCCACGTTGCGGCCGAACACGAAGGACGGGTGCAGAGTGACGATGGCGAAGCTGGGGTCGGCTTCGGTGGCCCAGTCGAGTGTCGCGCGGTGCGCGAGGATCTTGGAGAGGTGGTATTTCAGTCCGCCTGCTAAGCGCGGATCGCTGGGGAAGGAGATTTGCGGGTCGATGGTGATTTTGTGGCCCTCTGTGGGTTGTTGGTATGGAGCAGTGGTGGAGAGGGGAGGTGGTGCGTGAGAGGAGTTGGAGCGAGATGGTACGTACCTTTGGCTGTGACTTTGCCGGTTGCCATGGCTTCCGGAGAGATGAGTGCGAGGAGAGAAGAGACAATGACTATGCGCTTGATTGTGTTGGTCTTCTTCGCCGCTTCGAGTAGTGCAGTGGTGCCTTCGACTGCGGGCTTGACATAGTCGTTTTGGAAGTCGTCGCCCGTTCCTGGCATGGGAGACGCGAGGTGGAAGACATAGGTCACGCCTTTTAAAGCTTGGCTGAAGGCATCTGGGCTAGTGAAGTCGGTGACGATGACGAAGTCGAGGCTGGCTTTATGGGAGGAAAATATTTTGCGGAGATTGGAGATTTGAGCTTCTTTACGCACGCTGAGCCGGACATGGTAGCCTGCAGATAGGGTTTGG